GAGGATTGATAATCTTATCCCATGTCCGCTCTCTTGATTATCTTTTTTAGGTGTATAGATTTCATTATGTTTATCATATCTTATAGGTCTATATAAGTGAGTATATACCGTGTTTGTCTTTCTCCTTCTGGGATATTTCACTCAGGATGATTTTTTCTAGATCCCACCATTTGCCTGCAAATTTCATGATTTCCTCCTTTTTGATTGCTGAATAGTATTCCATTGTGTAAAAATACCACAATTTCTGTACCCATTCCTCCGTTGATGGACATCTGGGTTGTTTCCAGGTTCTGGCTATTACAAATAATGCTGCTATAAACATGGTTGAGCAAATATCCCTTTTGTGTACTTGAGCAAAGTTTGGGTATATACCTAGCAGTGGTATAGCTGGGTCTTGAGGAAGCACTATTCCTAATTGTCTTAGAAAGCGCCAGATAGATTTCCAGAGTGGTTGTACCAGTTTACATTCCCACCAGCAGTGGAGGAGGGTTCCCCTTTCTCCACAACCTCTCCAGCATGTGTTGTCCCTTGAGTTTTTCATCTTGGCCATTCTGATGGGTGTAAGGTGATATCTCAGGGTCGTTTTGATTTGCATTTCCCTGATGGCTAATGAGGATGAGCATTTCTTTAAGTGTTTCTCTGCCATTCGATATTCCTCTGTCGAGAATTCTCTGTTTAGCTCTGTTCCCCATTTTTTAAGTGGATTACTTGGTTTGCTGCTTTTCAGCTTCTTTAGTTCTTTGCATATACTCGATATTAGTCCTCTGTCAGATAAAGGGTTAGTGAAGATTCTTTCCCAATCTGTAGGCAGGCGTTTTGTTTTGATGACAGTGTCCTTTGCTTTACAGAAGCTTTTTAGTTTCATGAGGTCCCATTTATTGATTGTTGCTGTATCTTGGGGTGACACTAACCAAGCAAGTGAAAGACCTGTTTGAGAAAAACTTCAAGTCTCTGAAGAAAGAAATTGAAGAAGATCTCAGAAGATGGAAAGATCTCCCGTGCTCATGGATTGGTAGGATTAGCATTGTGAAAATGGCCATCCTGCCAAAAGCAATCTACAGATTCAATGCAATTCCCATCAAAATACCAACTCAATTCTTTACAGACCTTGAAAAAAAGATTCTCAGCTTCATATGGAGAAACAAAAAACCCAGAATCTCCAAAACAATCCTGTACAACAACAGATCATCTGGAGGTATCTCTATCCCCGATCTCAAGTTGTACTACAGAGCAATAGTAATAAAAACTGCATGGTATTGGTATAAAAACAGAAAGGAGGATCAATGGAACCGCATAGAAGACCCAGAAATAAACCCACACACCTATGAATACTCGATTTTTGACAAAGAAGCCAAAACTATTCAATGGAAAAAAAGACAGCATCTTCAACAAATGGTGCTGATCCAACTGGATGTCCACATGCAGAAAAATGAAAATAGATCTCTATTGATCACCCTGCACAAAACTGAAGTCCAAGTGGATCAAAGACCTCAACATAAAACCAGATACTCTAAATCTGTTAGAAGAAAAAGTTGGGAACAGCCTAGAACTCATTGGCACAGGAGATAACTTCCTGAACAGAACACCAACCAGCACAGGCTCTAAGAGCAACAATCAATAAATTGACATACCATTTTTATATCATTGAATAGGTTTAAAAACAGTAGAACTAATTTTCAGTTTCACTCAAAATATCTTTGTCCTCCCAATTCTGAGTGAGAATAATTTCCTCTAGGAAAGCCATAAGAGGTCCAATCAATGACATCTTCATGAAAGATTTTAACAAGCACTCAAGAGTTATTTACTTCTACACTGTTGACAATATATCCAGTCAGATTCTTTGTTGGTAACCCACATCTTACAATGCAGCAGGTTAAAGGACCTAGTACCATTAACTTTCTGTCCCTTGAAACCAGGTGCATGAAGCATATAAATTTTATTATGAAAACCCTTTGGTGGTATTAATTATAGATAACAACATTTGAAAAGTTATATTTAGACACTGAGTTTTATTACCCATATAAATAAGAATTTTTTTCCAAAGTACAGTTTATAATTTCCTTACCATTCCCCATAGGCTTTAGCAGGTCCTTGGTGATGATAAGGACTGGGTAGCCAAAAAAAAAAAAAAAAATTCATTAAACATCATAGGAATGTTTTTATCTCCACAGCTTACTCCCATGTAAATTGTGAGATGGACATACATGCTCCATATGTATTGCTGATCCCTGCTACCTGTGCAGTTAGCACAGACAGCACAGCAAGGAACAAATGTGTAGCATTTTTGAGGGTATCAATAACTTTTGGTCTCCAGTAGAAACATAAGCATAACTTCCTCGGACCCATTTTAATACCTTTCCTGGTTTACACTCTGATGTAAGAACATCCTTGTAGTATGCAGGCTGACTAAATTTAGCTGTTTTCCTACAATCCAATGCCTTTTAGCAACTGTTGTCCCTGCTTCGTTAGCATTAAAAATTTTTAAGTTAGTAAAGCATTATGCACTCTAACCCTGGGAATCCTCATATCTTTCTATTGTTTAAAAATCCTCTCTTTTAGAGTGCAATCAGATCTTTTAACAATTGTTTATTGTAGTTACATGATTAGCAAGGTTAATTCTGAATTATCAGGAATACGTTCAGCAGTTTTTAGGTGCAATACATCTTCTGCATATTGACAATCAGTAGTTATGTTGAGATTTATTAAATTTTAACAAAACCATTAGAATGGCACATAACTCTGATTTTTGGACTGAAGTATATGGACTTTGAACTACTTATATTTCATGATTTATAACCACCATTCCTCTACAGGAGCTTGATGAGCTGTCAAGGGCTTATTTTTTCTATTCAATCTTAAAATCTGAAGACTCAATTAACCCTTACTTAGGCCACATTATTTAAGAAGGTAATAATTCTGATTTTAAGTTCTGATAGTTCTGATTTTAAGTGTTAGATTTTTCTAGAACTTAACTGAGAGTTTTCAGAAAACAGCTTAATGAACAGAGCCAAAAACAGATAAGAATGTACCTGATGGTTTAATTTAAAATTGTGATTTTGTTTTGCTTTTGTTTATTTAACATGAAAATTGAGCATTTAAGCATTAATTGGATGATCAAGAGAAAATCATCTATATAATGCATGACTAGTACCTCTGAAATTTTAAATAACATTGGCTTAGTGTTTTATGTCTTAGTTCTAATTGCTTTTGTTTTAGAAGTTTAGCTCATCCTAGATATTTTTTTTTCTCTCATGAAAGGATCATTTACAATGAGTTGTTCCCAGTGTTGGGGGAAAAACATTTCCTATAGCGGAACCTTTATTATTGAGTTATTCTCATTATCCCATTATAAGGGAAAAACAAAAAATATTCAAACAAAATAAAGCAAACAAGAAAATTCTTTTTTTTATTTTAATTTTTTCACAATTTATTCATTATATGTCCCAATTGAAGCTCCCTCCTTCAACTGCTCCCAGTCTCCCTCCCTCCCTCTTTCTCCCTATCGCCTTCCCCTAGTCCACTGAGAGGGGGAGTTCTCCTCTTCTTCCATCTGCCCATTACTTATCAAGTCTCATCAGGACTGCCTGGATCCTCTTCCTCTGTGGCCTGGAAGGACAGCATCACCAGGGGCAGTGATCAAAGAGGAGGCAAACGAGTTCATGACACAGGCAGCAGCTGCTCCCCTTACTCTGGCACCCACATGGAGACTGAGCTGCCAGTCCTTAGTCATCAGAGAAATGCAAATCAAAACGACTCTGAGATTCCATCTTACACCCATCAGAATGGCTAAGATCAAAAACTCAAGTGACAACACATGCTGGAGAGAATGTGGAGAAAGGGGAACCCTCCTCCATTGATGGTGGTCGTGCAAACTTGTACAGCCACTTTGAAAATCAATCTGGCACATTCTCAAAAATAAAATGGGAATAGCAGTATCTCAAGATCCAGTTATACCACTCTTGGGTATATACCCAAAAGATACCTCACCATTCAGCAAGGACATTTTCTCAACTATATTCATAGCAGCTTTATTTATAATAGCCAGAATCTGAAAACAACCTAGATGTCCCTCAACAGAGAAGTGGATGTAGAAATTGTGGCACATTTACACAATGGAATACCCAGCTATTAAAAACAAGGAAATCATGAAATTTGCAGGCAAATGGATGAAACTAGAAAAGATCACCCTAAGTGAGGTAACCCAGAAACAGAAAGACAGGCATGGTATACACTCACTTATCAGCAGATATTAGCTGTATAATATAGGATAGCCATACTAAATTCTACAGACGTAAAGAAGCTAAACACTAAGAAGGACCCTAGGGAAGATGCTTAAATCCCATTCAGAATGGCAATGGCAAACAGAATAGACACCAGAAGTGGTGGAAGAGAGAAACAGCATGGGAGCCTACTACAGAGGGTCCTCTGAAGGGCTCCACCCAACAGGGGATAGAAGCAGAGTTCAGAGAGTCTTATGGGAAAAGGGGAGAGGGGGCGTATAGAAAGACAGGGAGGAGACAGGAGCCCCAGGAGACCAAAACTCTGAGCCTAGGGGTTCCTGCAGAGACTGATGCACCAACCAAGAACCATGCATGGAGAAGACCTAGATCCCCTGCTCAGATATAGCCGATTAACAAGAAAATCCTAAATTCTGGGCTAGCTGTGTTAACTCAGGCTGCAGGCGTAGAGCCCTGCCTGTCATTCTTTGGAATTCAGGTACTATTGTTTTGCCTTGGCAGACCTTAGCAGGAAGAGCTGGAGGAAGTGGGCACCTCTCGAGTGTAGCACTTGACTTTGCTGGTAAGACCCCCTGCTTCCCTGGCACGCAGCATGCTAAGGCTTGGCAGAGGCACGAGCAGGGCTTCCCCTGGTCACATGACTCCCAGGCACCACACTGGTCTACATAGACAGACAGGACAGGACAGGACAGCCAGTGCTATGCGGAGAAACACTGTCTTAAAAAAAAACAAGAAAGAGGCTTGCGCAAACGTCCCAACTCCTGAGTGCTATGCGAGGCGTCATGGAGCGCTCTGCGTCCTCCTCCACCCCTGTCTCAGACGCCGTGGCGACCACTACCGCGGTGCAAGCGAAGCCGACCGCTCTGGAACAGCTGGACAAAGAGCAGATCAGAAAGGCTGTGGAAGTTCTGTTTGCACACTCCAGGTCCAGAAAAAGCAGTACTGAATTGCTTTTGAATGAGAATGAGAACGTATTTTTAATGGTGATATTATGGAAAATTCCAGCAAAGGAACTTCGAGTCAGAATGTCTTTACCTCATAGTATTCTATCAGATTCGTCAGAAGTCTGTCTGTTTACCAAAGATGATTGTGAATCACCTGAACAGACAGAAGGTTTCTATAAAAAGCTTTTGAAAAAGCATGGAGTTAACAGTGTCTCTCAGATTATCCCTTTTAAAACTTTAAAGACAGAATATAAAGCCTATGAAGCCAAGCTCCGTCTCTTGGGTAGCTTTGACATCTTCATTACTGATGAAAGAATTAGACGACATTTGCCCACACACATAGGAAGGCATTTCTATCACAGGAAGAAAGTTCCAGTACCTGTCAATCTTCTGGCCAAGAATCTGTCCAAAGAGATTGACCGACCGCCGTATCACAGGGACTGTCTTAAACATCTCTAAACATGGTTCTTGCAGTACTATACGTATTGGTCACACCGGAATGGAGACTCAGCACATCATTGAAAACATCCTGGCTGTCTCAGAAATGCTTTCAGAAAAATTGCCAGAGAAATGGCAGAGTGTGAAACTCTTGTTCCTGAAAACGGAGACGTCAGTTTCCCTTCCCATCTTTTCCTCCTTCGTCACATCTCAGGATGAAAACAGTGGATCCTTCCGTAGTATGAGGAAAAAAGAACTAAAGAAAAAAAGAAAGCATGAAAAAGAAAAGTTGAAGAAGAAAAACAAAATGTTAAGGAAAAAGTCCAAGGAAGCTGCATTTCTTTCACCTCAAGATGACTTAGTGTGTAAAACCAGCAGTGCACCAGCAAATGGTCCAAGATCCCAGAAGAAACATCCCAGCAATGTAAAACCACAACAGAAAGTGACAGATGAGTATGAAGAAACAATTCCACAACTGGTACCAATAGGAGAAACTCGAGATAAAGAAAATGTGAAGATGGAAGAAAATATCACAGAAGGAAAATCTCCAAAAAAGAGATCTGATGCAAACACACCTCGTGGCAAGAAAAGGAAGGTCCTACCAGCTACAGAGACTTCAGAAGCTTCCAGGCCTGGGACCTCAGGGAAGAAGCTAAAAATAGATGTGCAGGAACTCAGAAAGCCAGGGGCCAAGGTCTTTACTCCCAGGAAATCTGTAAAGAAAACTTCTAAAACACCCAAAGACAAAAAAACCCAGGGAGCCAAATCAAACTAAACTTAGCGGCTCAGCCTGAAGAACATCAGAGTTAACCTAAAAGCTTTTCAAGAATAATTAGGGTGTGGTAGAAAAAACTGGAACACAAAGATAGGCAGATTTGTGTGAGTTGCCCTTCTAGATTTCAGGAAGCCAAGGCCAGAGAGTTGGGGTTTTGAGAGAGACTTGGGATGAACCAAGAATCTATTTAAAGCCCAGTGCAACGTCCTGAGTCCTATCATACTCAGGACTGTCAAAAACACACAAAAATAGGTACTGTAGCCAGGGTTGGTGGTGAGCACTAGTAATCCCGGCACTTGGGAGGCAGAGGTGATCTCTCCAAGTTCAAGGCCATCCCGGTCTACAAAGGAAGTCTAGGACAGCCAAGGCTACAGAGAGAAGCCCTATCTTGAAAAATACACAAACAAAAAAAGGTACTCTGGTCCTGATTCTGTCACAGCCTTTTTTTTAGCAGTCCTGGACATAAATGATTTTTGTAAAGTTTCCATGGGTGACTCTGAATTAATATTTCTGTATGTAAAAACTAGGGATTTGAGGCAAAAAAAAAACTAGTTCAGAGTATTTGCTGACAACTGCTTCTATATGTTTGTATTTTTTTAATTAAAAGTTTGACATCTGCGGAAGGAAGGAAGGAAGGAAGGAAGGAAGGAAGGAAGGAAGGAAGGAAGAAATGAGGGAAGAGAAAGAAAGCTTATAAAGTGATATCTATCCCATTTGCCTTTTCAGGTATTCACCGTGTTTCTTCTCTCTTTCCCTTTACATTGCAGTTGTTCCCCTACTACAGTTAAGTCTTCTCCCACTTTTTCATTTCCTCTTTATAGGCCCTGTGTTCTACTCCACCTTTCTTGACCCTCTTCTCTGCCCTACTCTTAAGATTACTTTCTACTATCCTGGTATGTGGATTGGTATTTGTCAGTGTAACACAAAACTAGACAGATCTTAAAAGAAGGACTCCCAAATGAGAAATTGCCTTCATCAAACTGTCCTGTAGTCAGTCTCTGTGAAAATTCTCTTGATTAATTCTTGATGTAGGAAGGGTATACTATGGTAAACATTGCCACCCCTGCTCAGGTGGTCTTGAGTAATATAAGAAAGCAGACTGAGCAAGCCATAGAGAGCAAGCCAGTAGACAGAATTCTTTCATGCCTTCTGTTCTAGTTCCAAACTGTGGGTTCCTGTCCTGAGTTCCTGCCTTGGCTTTCCCCAGTACAGTAGACCCACAATATATAAGCCAAATAATCCCTTTCCTTCACATGTTGGTTAACACAACAATAGAAACAAAAGTAGAGCATTTGGTTTCTGTGGATACTTCAGGTTATAAGTGCAAATACGAAGATTTGAAGTTAGGGTCCACACATAAGGTACAACACGCAGTGTTAAGCTTTCTCGATCTGTGTTGTTTCTCTTAGTTCCATCCATTTACCTCCAATTTAACAATTTCATTTTCTTTATACCTGAACACTATCCACTATGCCTTATCCACTCATCAGTTGAAAGAGATTTGGGTTGTTTCCATTTCCTCACTATTGTGAAGAGAGTATAAATAGAGTATAAAATGGCAGAGAAAGTATCTTTAGGATGTCAAGTCCTGTAGACATGTGCCAAGGAGTAGTATAGCTGGGCCATACTACTGACCAATTTTGGATTTTTTTATAATTATCCAACCTGATTTCCATAGAAGCTGCACCAGTTTCCAATTCTACAACAGGAACTTGGAACTCTCTAGAATTTTTAACTGGCTTGATGGTGGTTCTTTGCTCCACTGCCTCCCGCAGGGGTGTTCAGGCACCACGGCACACTTGGCTGGAAAGGATGGGATGGAGCCTGGAACAGCTGAGTCTGCAGGATCCCAGTCCAGCTGGGAGGTCAGAGAGCGAGAAAGGCCTTCTCCAAGGTTTTCAGTGTTACAGCTCTTGTGGATGATAGTAGGCCAGGGTTCTGCTTCTTCTCTTTGGAGCATTCAGGCACTGGAGTGTGCTGATACCAGACATGAGTGGCTAGCTGGGCAGGTCCAAGGATTCCAGTATTGGGTGTCTCCAAAACAGTTCTTTAAGCTCTTGTAGCTTAAAGAGACCTTCCAGCTTGTCCAAGTTTATTCAAGTTTATTCGGAGTGAGCAGGAACTACATAAACATTGGTGAGTGGGAAGGGTTTTTTAGGGTGAGTGCATTTCATTGGTTAGAACAATGCTGGTGATGTTTTATTTACATGAAGAAGAATTCCAGGTGCCAGGCGATATGACTACCCAAGAATCGTGGAGGTAGGGGCTGTTTAGACTATCTGCACTGGAGCATGTAGGCATAGTACAGAGAGTGAGTAATTATTACACCTGCTGGACCCAAGATTGAGATTCTCGAGGTTTGAGGAGGTCTCAACCCCACTAAATCTCCATGCTGATTTTCCCAGTTGCACAGTCCACATACCCCACATTTGTTCTTGTGCAGGTAGCCACAGCTACTACAGGTTCATGTGTTTGACAGCTATGCCATGGACTATGGCCAGCAAATTTTCAAAATCCTTCCCATTATCAAGCTCTTTTTTCCTACTGCCCCTATATTTTTCTTTGACATCTTCTTGAATTTCTCTTTAGGAATTTGTTTGAAATTCTCTATTTAATATGCCTTTTACAATATCAAGGAGGTGTTGGTATGTTGTAAGGTTTCCTACACATATAAGCATCTTTCTGGTGCCAGGGTAGTCTCACATATGTGGCTTAGTCACTGACTTTAGCATGGGTACTGGATATAGGCTAATCCCTGAACATAGATTATCCAAGGTTTCCATATTATACTGAATCCCCAGCGTGACACCAAGCTTGTCATACTCTGAACTCACAGCCCATCAAAACAAGCACAGTACAGAAACAGGATGAAAGCCCACACTATGTAAAGTCTACTGTTAAGATGACCATGTACCCAGCGTATTAGGTTCAGCCCTAGCTAAGTAGTTATTATATGGACTGGACCTCTCATAGACCTGTGGGCTACATATCTTCTCAGTATAAGGTCTTACCTATTCAGTAAAAAATTCCATGAAAAAGAGCTCTGCTTATTTTTATGTCTTAACTTGAATAAAGCAAGCATTGCCGTTACACTATACATTTCAAGATTGAAGTCCTTTTAATGAAGGCAGTCCCCTTGGATGCCCAGGCTGATTTTGTGCTAGGAGTTACTGAGTGACAAAGCTTTAAAAGTCTTCAGCTGTTGGCTTTGCCCCAAAGCTCAAAGGAAACCTGGTGATGATGTGTATCAAAACATTGATCTGTGTCACTGTTTCCTGCCTGGTCCTAAGCACTTTTAGTGTTTGGTATATGAGTATATGACCATTGGCTTGGTCGTAATTGTGTTACTTGGTGATGGAGGGTAAGTGATAGAGACAGTCCCTGGACCGCCAAGACTAATAACAAACTGATGTGCACTTGAGTCCTATAACTACAACCATAGGCACATTCATTACAAGGGGGCCTCTGATTGGCAATAATATAGGCAGATACTCAAGTCTGTCCAATGAGAGCCGAGGTCTCTGTTAGATACCTCTGCAGGCAGCTCTGTCTTCAGTCCTGGCCTGTGTTCAGAGCTTGTTTTATTTCCAGATGTAGAACTCTCAGCTCCTTCTCCAGGACCATGTCTGCCTGCATGCTGCCTTGCTTCCCACCATGATGATAATGGACTGAACCTCTAAAACTGTAATCCAGTGTCAATTAAATGTTTTTCTTTATGAGAGTTGCCATGGCCATGGTATCTTTTCACAGCAATAGAAACCCTAAAACAGTATTTTTATGGGATTTATGTGTAGGAGAAAACATGTGTCTCTGTGTCTATGGATATTTTTGAGCTTTTTCTTTGACTCATTTTCTTTTGTTTCTTGTTTGTTTATTTCATTTTATTATTATTTAATAATAAAATTCCTCTTTGAATCCTAATGAGAGAGAGAAAGAAAGGATGTAGTTTTGAGTAGATGGGGGAGTGGAGAGGGTATAGGGTAGGGGAAACCATAATTGAAATATATTATATTTAAAAAATCTATTTTCAGAAAGAAGATCCAGGCTGAGACTGGAGAGGGTGGGGTCAGTTGGTAGAGGAGGAGAGCTCCCCCTTTCTGAGGACTAGGGAAGAGGGATGGGGGCAGAGGGAGGGAGGGTGGAACCAGGAGGAAATGAGGGAGGATGCTATGATGGGGACGTAAAGTGAGTAAATTTTTAAAAATTAATAAAAGACAATTTTTAATATTATTTTAAAATAGTGCCAGATCATTTTATGAAGATTAGCACTGAGCTCTTAACCAAACCCTCTGATATTCTTCTTGCCTTCTGTACAGCACATCAATTTTTGCTCCTCCCTCACTCTGCCAATCACTACTGCAGGATGGGTATTAGATGAAGATGTTTTCTTTTTGCTGATTCTATTTTAGTGGCTCACCTGTGAACACTGACTTGGAGGTAGTCAAGAAGAACTCCAACACTGAACTTCACAATGAGGGCCTGGTACTCAGCTCCAAATCAAAACCTAGACTTAATTTCCTGTTCATTTCCCAAGCATGTAATTACATCCCTGTCCACACAGTGCTGCTCACAGTTACAAGTATCACAAGCCACTCTTTCATTTCCACCTCCAAAATAGGCCTATATTTTAATCATACTACAGTGAGAAACTGTTCTTTTTCATTCGTTTTCTTAGCTGTTGTTAAAGGATGTACATCTTCATATGACTATAGAGAATCACACTCATACTGAGCAAAAAAAAAAAAAAAACTGCTCTACATTTCATTTTTAACTTCAAATACACACTGTAAATTTTAGAATGGTAAATAAACGAATATTTAAAGTTTTTATTTTTTATGTCATGTGTGCTTGTGTGTTTGCATTATACAACCTCATAGATGATGTGGATAGAGTGTCAAGATCAGAAGAAAACTCTCAGGAGTTAATTCTCCATTGCCACCTTGTGGAATCCAGAGAGCTCAGGTCATCAAGCACGAGAGAGTCTCTGCCACTGAGCCAGT